GTGCCGATAGAACTTCGTCCCCTGAGAAGTTTTGATAGAGCGTAGGTGAATGCAGAAAGTGGGTCGTACCGGAGGAAGACCTGGACGGAAGGGGAGAAGTAGTACTGGCACCGCCACCTGTAATTCACCCATATCGATGCTGAGCCCTGCTTTGGGCAGTGTCCTAGCCGGTTAAGGAGCAGTTCCTATTTTCTCTAGGAAAAAAACGCGATTCTGTGGAAAATCTTCTTGCTTCATTCTACTGCTGTTTTTGGATTGATTTTATTCGGTGCTGTATGGGCTCTACATGTCATCATAAGAGGCTGTCTTCTACCGTAATTCATATTTTACTATCTTACTTCTCAACAGTACTTAGCCTGATACTCAAGATTCACTGCAAATGCCGTCGTTTTCATCCATTCACTTGTTTGACATGTCGCATTTCGAGAGGGGCTCTTATTATTCACAGTAACATTACCGTATTTAGCTTATGACAAGCCTGGACGATTTAACCAAGCAAATGCAAGACTTGCCCAATTGGGGTAAGGCTGCAGTAGCTGGTGGCTTAGCTCTTCTCCTCTATATTCCGTATCGTTGGTTGACTTCTGCGCCGAGAAAAAGTCCTGTCAAAGAGGACTGGAAGAGTGGTACGTCTCTCTGTGCTGACTTATTTTTTGTTCTTTTTCTCGGCCTTCCAAATTCATCATTGATTTGTTTTTCTTTTGACAGCCTTCAATTTCATTCGAGTCTCTTTCCACTTATTTCATCTATTTATACATCTGCTTTGCTATTTTTCGTTTCCCAAATGGATTTTGATTTCGGATGGGCAGGTGGAAGGGGAGGGGTGGGGAGCGTGAAAGAAAAGGCTCTGCTCATGTTTTGCAACGTTAAAGCTGACGTCGCACAGGCTGTTAGGGTATATGAAGACCCTATGTAAAGTAGTTCCTTGATATTCCTCTGTAAGCCCTTCATCTTTGTCCTAACCGTTACGAGAAGGTTAAGGCATAATCATCGTCGAACTCAAGAAGACCCACAATAGGACTGGTACTGGAAGACGTCATGTGTCCTGCCGTTCAGATAATACAGTCAAGTCAAGTCTGATTTTTCGCGACTCACCCTACAAAACGAGTTGATCGTGGAGGACCGTATCATCCCAGATGGTCTGACGCATTCTGGCGATCCAAGCAGGGAGAGCTAAACATTCCTCCGTCAGTAATTTTTAGAGATACGGTCCGTGAGCTACCAGTAAGTGGCTTTCTTCACCCTGTAGGCAGGACACGTCCTGCCGCTGGAGAAATTTAGCAAATTACGACACCCCTTAGCCCCAACTTCCCACCTTCCTACTACTTGCTCTGGAGTTTTTTTGCCTTTATATATAACATTTGCTAGCAGCTCCGCTCTCAAAAAATAGTCGCATTGTGGTGGCAGTTAATTATTTCTGCGTGCGGGTGTAGTTGCAGCAGCGCGCGTTTATTAGCAGACCATTCGCTAGCTAGCTGTCTTGTGAATTGCCACGTTGATTGATTGGGTCCGGTGCTAACGCCGCGCACGTGACACCACCTTCAACACCACTGTTGCAGCCCTCGTACCTCGTGAATTTCTCTTCTTTTGCACCCGCTCCGCGAAAAGAAAAATTCACAGAACAAGTGAGAACGCTTATAACTCTGATCAGGCTACTTTGGAATGCGCCACGCATCATACTTGCATTCATAACTGCGGCAACTTTTGGATGCTATTTAGCCTATAAAATGACTCGTGGGAGCCATCCGATGTACAAGCTATTATTTTCATTCATCGAGGCTAGTCTGCTACCATATAGCTGACCGGAAAGGACAAGAGACTTGAGTGAGTTGGACTGGACACAAGAAAAAAATTCCGAGTTTTCGGCTAGGACTAATTCCTCGGGCTTTCTCGACACCTTCGCTGGTTGAGATCAGCTCAAAGTTTCAAGTTCCAGCCTCTCACGGTTTCCCGCACCTTGCTCCACCCACTTCACAATCTTCATCCATTCTTGTGATTGGGTCCAATAAAAGAAATAGGATCGAAAATTTCGGGACATATTTGTAGGACCATTCGAGAAATATTTTTTGAGTACTGTTGTCGTTGTTCTCTTCAAAAAATCTCCCTTTTAGGAGTGGTCTACTTATATCAGTTTCCACGAACAAAGCTTCTACCGAGTCCATCTGCTCCATGTCTAAAAGTGGAAACATGGCTTCGTATGGCTGAAATACCGTACGAGGTGAGCTATACCGTAATCATCGATCAGCTAAAATATGGTTGATCTCGTCGCAGTCAGATGAGGCGGTGACAGGAGGCATAAAATGAGCCCACTCGCTGCCATGTTTTCTGGCAGTAGTGGCCGGTTCAGGAAGACAGGAACCAGTGGGAAAAAAGCTGCGGGCGGGCTCACTCCACGCTTCTTGGTACCACCACGCCGGAATACAATGATGTCAAGAAAAAAATTCCGAGTTTAGGCTAGGACCAATTCCTCGGGCTTTCTCGACACCTCCGGTGGATGAGATCAGCTCAAAGATTCAAGTTCCTAGGTCACTGAACTTTCCTTCTCCCTTTAGGCCTGCGATCTTTTGTGCTGATCTGACCGCTATTTTGTAGGCAGGTTACAGCATTGTGATGTGTGAACGGGTGGTGTCAGTACCACTCTCCCCCTGGTCTTGGTACAACCCCCTACCTAATAGAGGGTCTCGTTGCGACCCCCTCCCCCTTCCCTAACGCTACCTACCATATCGGCCACAATTTTCCACTTTTCATACCGAAGTTTCCGTCGAGCTGCGAGCGGGTACACCATTAGCCGATGTGAAACGGGCGAAAATCTTCACCCAACTTCCCTACCACTTTTCGCGGAATCCGAGAAAATCTTAAATTCTCCAACACTTTCCCCGAAAATTTCGCCTGTAGGCGCAGGCGGGGGCGGCGCATACTGAAACAAGGACACATAGATACAAAAAATCACGTGAAAAATAAGCTGAACAACCAGGAAAATTTTTTCCCAACGCACGCAAATTTCGCCGCAAGGCCACATACGAACCCCCCCCTCTCCCAACGACAAATACGCACCCCCCCCCTCCCAGCGGAAAACTACGACCCTATATATTGTTTCACACAACGATGCTGTACCCTGTCTGTAAGATGCAGTGATCCTTCACCTTTCAACCGAAATGCAGCTTCCGTTATCTGTTTACCCAAATGAAAATGCACGGAATAACAGCGCTAATTCGTTATGTCAACATTGATCCGTGAATGTAGGAAAGTTTCAAGACCTGACCGAGCAGAATCAATCAATACTTTCACACTAAAATCAAATTATTACCTAGGTGAAATAGACACAAAATTTCAGAACATTTCTTGCCTCCTTTCACCACGTTCCAAGGAGGGACTTTGCCGTTCGTCGAGTTTGGAAGGCGTCGAATATCCGGATTCATCATTCATTATTCGGTACGCGGATTTGACATTTTTCAAATGTTACTTATTTACACTGTATTGAAGCAGTCACCATTTTGTGGGACACAACCGCCGGTATGTGGCAAGACAATCGCAGTAAACCACGCTGGTGGGCGTGGCGCGCGACGTCGCGCCCGACAGCGAGTTGTTCTGCCCATCCATTTGGATTTGAATGCTATAGGGACGAGAAGATTCGATATCGCTCGCATGGAGTCATGTCCGCATGAATACATTCGAGTTTCACGGCTCTAGTCAATTGATTCGCGTCGGGAATTCACCGCGCACCTCCGCGCGCGACGGCGCGCAGGTCACGATAGTCTTGTCTATCTCCCCACAGCCGCGTGCTGCCGCGAAGTGGTCCCACCCTCCTAAAATTTACTGGTAGCAGCTACCAGAGCCTAATATCGTGTGCACAATCGTATTCTAGTACCTTGTCCCTGATTTCAACTAAAGAATAGACAAACTACCGCATTTTCCCTTGACGCGCATCAGGGGCCCACGAAACACAAGGCAGGGCTATAACGACAGCGTAAACTTCTTCAGTATTTCATTGTTAAAACAAGTAGTAATTTAATGAATAATTTTCAGAGATCTTACGCGTATACTTGGGGTTAAGCTGGAAGATCATCTGAACGATGAACAAAAGGCAATCTCTCGTGCATTTGAGGAACTCGCTCATCACTCATTGTTGGCCTCACATAGACTGTTCAGATTGGAGAACGTCTCACAGGTAGCCGTCGTATCCCAGCTATACCTCTAGGTCTAAAAGTAGAGTTATCTATTGCCATTTAGTTTGCCGAACTTCTTCCACCAACTCTCTTCGGTTTCTTTCATCCGTTCATTGTTTGGCTTGTGAAACGGAATTATGTCAAATCCGTGAGTTATGTCACTTCGTATCTGATAGATCACATGCAGAACTAATAGGAATATAACTTGTTAAAGAAACGGTCCGCGATCAGGTATCGAAGTTGAAAATATGGTGTGGGGAGGGTAGTGCGGTCCGCGACGAACAACCCTGTACCGTTTTCGCGGAAAAAAAGTGCAGGGGAGGGGCGCTATAAGGCAGAATAGATCCAGTGGTTCCTCCTTTTTTCCAGTGACTCCGCCTCCCAAGCGCCGCCCTTTAGTGAGAAACCAAGTTTTCGGACGAGAAAAGCATGAACATTTGAGCCCCTTCGTTATTTGTACGGACGTAGGGTTGTATTGGGTCAGCTGAGCGCACAAAGGGGTACAACTGGAAATGTATTGCAAAAAGTATGTATTGCAAAGTGCACGAAAAGTTGGAAGAAAATAGCATCATTTTGAATTTAAAAGCAAAAACAAACTCAAAAACAACAAAGAAACATTATGATGCGATGAGTTCACTGAAAAAATAAGAATATGAAAGTCACTCTTTTCATTACGTCGGCGCCACATTTATGCGCTGCCCTCATCATTGCAGACCGGTGGGGCGGGTGAGCCGCGCTGCGCGTGACTCGGCTGTGATCGCTGCCGCGTCACAGCCGAGTCACACGCAGCGCGGCTCACCCGCCCCCACGGTCTGCAATGATGATGGACTTGCTACGCCTGCCCAGCGCAGCCAACAACGTTGGAAGCGCTCGTCTTATAGGCGCTGTTTCCCCATCGCATGCACGTACAAACCAGGATTGTAATGGGGTCCTATTTAGGACATTGGGCATGTTTTCTGCTTTTTTCTTCACTATTGAGTTACTCTGAACCTTGTCCTCTTTATGCGAAGCCCAAATTCACTATCTAAGATGGCAACTGATCGCGGGCTTTGCCTTATTCGGGTTTTTCTTTCACACTCAGATGCAATATGCAGAAAAATTTTGCTTCATAGTGAATATGGAGTTTTACGAAACCCGGGCTCTCGAGGTCGTGTTCATACTTCACGATTCACTCTGCGCGAGCGCGATCCACGCTCCATCAAGGCTCATGGGGCCACTGCGCTCCTTAATTTAGTCACATTCGCGTACAACTTTTTTCACCCAGTGATTAGCGCAGTTCTCAACTCGCGAGACTGAAGCGCTCCAATTGCGTGGTATGAGCGCGACTTCTTTCGCACAGTCGCTGCCCCTATGTGAATCGAACCCGGTGCCAACGTAACGTAGATGTTTGGGAGCCCTCGGCACCATCTACTGATCCCTCTCCCTAACTGTGTTTTCTCTGCGAGATTACCCCTCGGCAACCATGTCCTTCTAAGTGAGCTCTGACTGTAAGTCTCAACTAGACAATGATAGAAGGACACTAGAGCAGGATAGTGGGAGGATCCCATCAGGGTGCCATAGTTTGTCGCTAGGGAAGAGGGTTCGTTTTGACCTCGGGAGAAATTTTTTTTGAGCCTTGAGCAAATCATCTCCGGTTGCTATTTTTTTCCCGTTACACCACGCTGTATACATCCCCCGGTATACGTTTTCGCGGAGGAAACAATGGAAAAATTTTGGGTAGTTACCATATAGCGAGTAGAGTTTGGTAAGAACATACGTAGGTTGTGAGAAGAAAGGGAGGGGGGGGGGGTGGGGGCTGTTGGGAGATGAATTTTGGGTTGCGAGTTGCACCAGCATTCCCATTTCACCCATACCGATACTGTAACCTCACACAGAGGTACTTTCGAGTGCCCCTTCCCTCGTTAGCACCACGAATCCCTTTATAAACCTTACATCTGCCAGAAGTAACATTATTATGTTAGAACACAGCCGCGTTCTGACATGAACAAAAGCTCTGGCGATGGATCTATCGGCTTTGACTTACCTCTTCATGGGATGCACCACTCACTCTACTTCCGTCTAGAATCGCAGTGGTACTTTGAATTCTATTTGTCCTATAGCACGAGCCAGCTGGTGTAGAAATCGAATTTTCATCCTCCCACAAAAGTCTGAACCTGCCTCTAGGGGATGAGAAACATGCTTGGCCCGGGACGCAGTCAATCAGAGATCAGTCGTGACCCTCGGACCATGAGCGTGGTAGGTGGTTGTCCATACTGTAACTTTCTAATCTTAGGTCAATTTTCGTTTAACCGAAAGCCTCTGAGCTCCAGCTAACCACGCTCAATTGGAGCTGACACTTGTGCAAGTGTTTTTATCTCCTGACTGGAAGAATTTATTATCATGCATGAGAGCTCACGATAAGGGCAATAACTTCTCGTTTCCTAGGCAATAATTTCCCTCAATTACAGACAGCATCGATGTTAGCATGGACTGGCATTGGAAAACACAGCCGTGAAGAGCAGATTGGTATCGGAAGCGACGATATTCGTGCCATCAGCAAGTATCTCGGAGGCAAGCACTACTTCTGTGGATTCAAACCATCACGAGTAAGAGAATACACTTATATTGCTAACAGTATTCCTCTCATGGTACTGATCCTCAAGAATGGCGTTGCATACAGATTTTTTTCCGCGTACATAAATGTACGGCGGAAGAAAACCGATAGTCACACACTTCTTCTTCTTCTTTGATGTCTCCCAATGAGCCGCACACTTACTGCCGCTTCCACTGCAGTCGCAGTTCCCCTTAGTTTTCACATTCATCGTTCATAGTACGTAGCTTCTCTCGATCAAAGGCCGAACTTAAAGGCACACTCCACTGCGGCAAAAAGTGCGCAGTGGGATTGCAGTATGATTTTGTAAGGGCTAAGTGACCTGTCAGTGAAGGGGTGTACACTTTGAGCTATGTGCGAATCAAACCGTAAACGCTATATCGCTATGGCTCCCGCATGGGCGTTAAGGGCTTAAGCACTGAGAGGTAGAGGGGTTGAGTCTTCTGATGTGATAATTGTAAAAAAAATGTAAATGATTGCCTCGCTGCAGATGCTGAGGCGTGTCAGGGGGACTGGATTAAGCGCGGAGCCATACTTCTCCTCCAGTTGATAGAGCGGACCAGTGACAACAGCGCAGTTCGGTGACCGGGGATGGGGATGCATTTTGCACTTTCGCTGTTTCACTAGTTTCGGCTTACAATTGTGAGCTCATGAAATAGCTCTTCAAATGGCTTGGCACGTCGATGGGAAGCAAAAGTGCAGTGTCAACCCCGGCCCCCTTCTCCTCACTCTCCCCTCCCCGCCGCCGAATAGCCCCGCGACAACATCGGTGGAAAATGAGATGGCGCTACGCCAAACCTAGCCCCACCTCTCACTACAACTAGTATTTAGATTGATGCCGCTCTCTTTGCTGTCCTCGCCCAGATCGTCTACGCTCCGTATGAGAACGAACATCTTGAAATAATTAAAAAGGAATGTTCAAACTTGATGGAGTATGTGGAACGCATTAAGAACAGGT